CGCGCGGCAGACGGGCCGGGACGCCGCTGACCTCCAGAAACAGAGGCCGGTCCGCGCAGGGCCAACGACTGGCTCGTTCCGCTCGAAACTCTCAGAAGATGGAGCGGTATATTGCCCCTCGCATCCCTGAGAATCTCGGGCGAAACGCGCCGGAAACGCGCCCAGCGCTGTTGAGTTTTGTGGAAGACGCGGCCAACGCCGAGTCTCGCGGATGGAGCCCGCCGCAGAGGCCTTAGATGCGCCGAACAGGCTGGGTCAAGTCCCCTCCGTCTTCCCCAACGTGGCCGGACGTGGCCGACGGCCTGTTCGGCGCGAAACGAGCAGTTTCCGGCGCGTTGCTGGCGCGCATCCGGCCGGTGGATCGCCGCCAAAGTCCAGCATCGTGACGAGGACATCGGCGGCCCTTCTCGAGCCCGTTTCCGCGTCGATCGGCGGTCGCGATCGCGCGCGGTAGACTGTTTTGTGCTGAATTGGGGCCATGAAAACGGCGGGGAAGAGTGTTTGCGCACCTTGGGCGTCGGCTCTGGACTATCTGAGGCGGTGTGGGGCCGTGCTTTCGCGAGATTCCGGCCAGAAGTCCCAGTTGTGAGTTGGTTGCCTTGAGTCCGTTTCCGCGTCGATCCGCGGTGGCGTGTTTCCGCCCCAGAGGTGAGCCATTGTCGCCAGATTCCACCCCAGTTGTTGCCTAGTTTGCAGACCAGAGCCGCGTGGCCCGGGGCCGTCTGAAGCAGCGGAGAGGCCGCGGAGAGGTTGTGTTGCCACAGATGGTGGTGGTACAGAAGAGAGAGAGTCACGCGCGTGACTGTAGTCGAGTCCGAATCTTGCGTGACGGACTCCGCGGCAAATTAACTGCTGGCAGTTAGCGGCCTCCGCGGCAAGTCCGCTGGCAGTTAGCAAAGTAATTTCAGTTGTGGGAAAAGTGAAGAGAGGGATTGAAAGATATTGAGCTGGAGATGCTAAAAAGCTGAAATGAGAAGCAGGAGGATAAGAACTGAGAGTTGTGGAGGGGTAATGAAATTTCCCAAAAGGAAATAATTTCGAGCGCGAAATTGTGGACAGCAGTTTTCACGCTTTTTTGAAATTTGTTCCTGGGGTTGGCTGAGCACCTCAGTTTCCTACTGTAAGGAGGAAGACCTCTGGGTGCTGAGTGTTCTTTTGTCTAGCAGTACTACTGTTTAAAGATGGATTAACATGGGACCACATTTTGGCAGTGAAAGAGGTTGGCTGAATACCCTGTAACAAGGGGAAAAAGGTCATTTGAGTAATTGGTGGGCTCATGCTTAGGCATTGAGAAGAGGCCTCCCCACTGGTGAAAGGGTGATCTCCTTCAGTTGATTGGGAGTAGCTGTTGAATCGAACCAAGGGTTGTGAGAGTGAAGGACAGAAGTCATCATAGCACTGTTTACAGTCAACTTCTGAGTAACTTGAACTTGTAACTTGGTGGAGCTTGCCTATTCTTTGGACTTTGTCCTCTTGTATTCATGGGTTCTGGGGGATACATTTAATTCTAACTTTTTCTAGGATTTTACAGCCAGACTCTGTTGGGGGGACGCCCTGACAAGTCTATAAACAAAAATCCAGGACTGCAGCCTGGTGTGACAGTGAAGTCAATAAAACTCAAAGCTATTTTTTAACCCCCCTTTACTACCTACCTTCTTCTTCTTTCTTCTTCTTTGATATCTTTGACTGTATGAATGACATGGATTCATAGAGTGAAAGGTATGAAAGAAGAAGAACAACAGTATTTTTTTTTTCTTTCTGCAGCTCTACTTTAGGGCCTGCTGAAGGATCGGGTTTTGGACCCATTCCACTTTAGGGCCGGCTCCTTCATTGCCTCTTTTTTCTTATATTCTTGTTATTATATTCTTGTTATTATATTCTTGTTATTATATTCTTGTGTTATATTGAGTGAGACTGAGCGCTACTGACTCTAACTGCCAGACTACTTTAGGGCCAGCCTAGTAAATTAGGTTGACTGAACTATGACCGCTACTGACTGAGTCTTAGACTGCTACTGCCAACTTTAGGGGAGATAAGTTGAGACTGACTGAGTCTGACTTTAGGGCTGCCTTGGTGGATCACTTGGACTGAACCTTACTGACCGCTACTAACTTACTGCCAGGGCCATTGACACTTCAAGACTAAGTAATTAAGCACTTTAGGGCCAGTCTCACTTAACTGCCAGGTGGAAGTTGGCAGACAAAGTTGTAGATATCACAAATTGAAGGTTAGGTTCAGTTCAGACTATAGTCAATTTCTGAATGGTTAGGCTGGAAAATGCAAAAGATTGAAAAATCACGAGTGTCTTTTAGGGCCAGGTTCAAAACACTAATAGGCTTATATCTCGATGAGTTCTGATCTGTTGACCATGGTTTCTATATGGTCAGAAAGGTATTTGCAAGGCCTACAAACTGGCCTTCAACTGAAAACATGTTTGCTACAAATTGACTGAGTTTTACTACAAGATACTGTAGCAGTTAAGCTTACACTATTGAATTTCTTGATGGTTTGTATATGGTTGGAAAGGCCTTTAAAAGGACTCTAACTTTGTATTCAACTCATTGTCACTTTCCTACAAATCTAAGAACTTTTATCAGTAGTTACTGCAGCAGCCATTGACTCTATTGACTCATTCTGACTTGTGTATATTTTGGTGTGGGTTCATAGCGGCACTCCTGAGACCTAACTTCCCAGTTTACAGTTTGGCTTAAAGTCAATACTTGCTTCACAAAATGCAATATACTTTCCCAATCCAGAGTCTTTTGAAACAGTAATAGGACTTTATCTCAGTGAGTTCTGAAGCTTTCGAGATGGGTCATATATGGTTAGAAAGGTATTTTGAAGGCCTACAAACTAGTCTTCAACTGAAAACATGTTTGCTACAAATTGACTGACTTTTATTAGAAAATACTGTGGCAGTAAATGTTATATAGTGATAGTTTTGGATGGTTTGTATATGGTTAGAAAGGTCTTCAAAAGGAATCCGACTTTGTATTCAACTTTTGCTTGATTGACTACAAATCTAATGACTTTTGTTACAACACACTGTGGCAGTTGTTGCCTGTATTGACTCAGATTGACTTGTGCATATTTTGGTGCCAGTCTGTAGCGGCACTTCCAAGACCTAACTGCTCAGTTTACACTTTGGCTTGAAGTCAATACTTGCCTTGCAAAATGCAAATTACTGACCCAATCCAGAGTCTTTTGAAACAGTAATAGGCTCATATCTCTGTGAGTTCCGGTCGGTTTGAGATGGTTCTTATATGGTCAGAAAGGTATTTGAAGGGTCTACAAATATGGCCTCAACTGCAAATATGTTGATTACAAAATGACTGACTTGTATTAGGATACACTGTGGCAGTTAAGGTTAAACTGTTGAATTTCTTGATGGTTCATATATGGTTAGAAAGGTCTTTAGAAGGACTACAACTTTGTATTCAACTCATGTTTAGTTGATCACAAATCCATTGACACTGCGGCTATTGACTGTATTGACTCAAGTTGATTTTAGGCTTTATCTCAATGAGTTCTTGTTGGATTGAGATGGTTTTCATATGGTCAGAAAGGTATTTGAAGGGCTTATAACATGGTGGTCAACTCAAAATTTGTTGACTACAAAATGACAGTTGTATTGACTGAAATTGACCTTCTTTTAAAATAGTATTAGGCTCATATCTCTGTCAGTTCTGGGCGGTTTGGGATGGTTTCTATATGGTTAGAAAGGGAATTCCAGGGGCTACAAATACAAATTAACTCAGTTATATTGCCTTAAATTGACTTTGGTGCCAGTCTATTGGGACACTTCCAGGACCTGAATGCCAGTTTATACAAACAGTATTAGAGTTATTTCTCAATGAGTTCTGGTTGGATTGAGATGGTTCTTATATGGTCAGAGACGTATTTGAAAGGGCTACAAATTTGTGTTTGGCTGGAAATGTGTTCCATACAAATTGACTGACTTTTATTGGGATACAAAGTGGCAGTTGTTGACTGTATCGACTCACAAAATCACAAGTACTCCAAACAGTATTAGGGCTGTATCTCAGTCATTTCTAAAGCTCTTAAAATGGGTCTTGAAAGGTATTTCAAAGGCCTATAATGGGGTCTTCAATTACAAATTCATTGACTACAAAATGAATGTTGAATTGGCTTTCTAGAACAAAATGTAATTTCAGAACAGTATTAAGGTTATATCTCTACCATTTCTGAATGGGTCCTATATGGTCGGAAAGGGACTTGAAAGCCCTACAAATGTGTGTCGAACTTGATACATGTCCAGGTCTAGTCAAACCGGACTGAATGCAGTGTTCGGCATAAAGGCCATTCCGAACCAAACCTAGCCCTCAATTCGGCCAGGTTCGCAGCCAGCCCAACATATATCTGTTTATTCTAAGCCTTAGTACATCTGTAAAAAGCGGCTTATGTAAGCAGATGTGAATACAATAATGTGCCAAACTTAACAATGTCAATCTGATACAATAGTGTTTGTACCAAATTGATCTCAGGGTCAGTTTGTGAGAACTAATAGTTATCTACTGATTCTTTCATTCTTGAATGATTGGCCATTGTTGACAATTTAGATGTGGGCAAACTACTGATTACACCAATAGAGAGTGTTGCTTACATCTAATATAGCACTCTGAATTAAATTCAGACAAAATCATATATTGCACACCATCTGCCACACATATCTACACAATATTCTGGAACTATATATGGCCAATGCCGCTTGTCCGAGGTTGGGCTGGATCAGTGCGGCCGTCTGTGAGAAAGCCTTGCCGCGTCACCTCAGTGGAGCGCCGAGGGATGCGCGCGGGAGTGCGTCCTTGGTCGTGCGGAGTTCGCCTGAGAGTTTATCAATACTAGACAGAACCCACAAGTATCACAACCAGACAAAATAATATACTTGCTACAGAACAAACTCAGACTTATACACAGACACCATACTATACTATCCAACAGCAGAATGCAAAAAAAGAAAACATATCACCCCCTCTTAATCAATCCTCGCGCCCCGAACCAGACCGCGACCCGCTCGCATGCGACTCGACGGAGCGTCTCCGGCCCTCGGCCGCGTCCACCGCGTCGAGCAGCTCGCTGTCCATCTCCGCGGCCGGCCCGGGCTCCCCGTCGTCGTTGATCTCGTCCACCTCCTCCGTCTCCGCCTCCGCATCCGCCTCCGCATCCTCCTCCTCCTCCTCGTCCGCGTACGGGTCGCGCTGGTGCTTCGGCGACCGACCATGCCGCGCCCCGTGCTCGATCGTGCCCGGGCTGCGCGTGCGCGCCGCGCCGCCCATCGAGAGCGCGAGCGGGGGCAGGATCCCCGGTGCCTGGACTTCGCGGTGCGCGGCCCGGGAAGGCACGTGCGCCGGCGGGGCAGGCGGGCTCGGCCGGTGCTGCGTCCTTGCCTGCGCCGGGCCGGACAGCGACGACCGCAGCCCGCTCTCCTGCCCATGTCCATGCGCATGCGCATGCCGCTCTCTCTCTGGGCGCCCCGGCGAAACATTCAGCACCGTATCGCTCCTCGCCACCCTCTGCTGCTGGGCCTGTGGTGCGGGCGGCGGCTGCAATATCTGCCCCTGGCTCCCGACGAGGCCCTCCGCCGTCCCGCGTCGCTCGACGCGCTTCATCTTCTTGCGGCAGCGGTCGCACACCGTGCCCGGCCCGAGCGGGCCCGGCCCCCACTTCTCGACGCACTTCCCGTCCTTGTAGCGGCCGGCCATCCCGCACTGCCGGCAGATGCGCTGGTTCTGCGCGTTGGTGGCCGGGAAGGCCGGCGCGGGGGGTGCCGGCGCGGCGGGCGTGGTCAGCGGGGCGGGGAGCGTGGGCTGCGCAGCGAGCGGCTGCGCGGCGGACTGAGGTTGAGGCTGCGCGGCGGGGACTGGTGGAGGGGGCACCGCGTGTTGCGCGTAGTAGTTGTCTGAGGAAGAGTTAGTCGACAGAAGGCAGGAGTGGAACGAGGGCAGAACAAAATTAAAACCAAAACGCGAGAAACAGTTAGAAGGAAGGAATGGAACTAGGGGAGAACAGTTGCGATCAAACTGATCACGAGACCTTCAGAACACAACAAAAAGAAGAAAAAAAAAAACACGAGGAACAGTTAGAAGGAAGGAGTGGAACGAGGGGAGAAAAGGTGCGATCATTGATAGTGGTCTGCCGCGGCGGGCTTGGAGCCCGAAGCCCGGCCCAGCCCGGGGTCGGGCAGCCCGAGCGTTCATTCGGGCCGGGCCAGGCCTTCAGCGGGCGTGAGGCTCGGGCTTCCACGCCTTGGAATTCCAAGGCACATCCCGGCCCGTCAGATCACGAGCGCCGATTAACGACGTGGCTCCCACTCATCACGAGACCTAACAACGAAAAAAAAACGAAAAACCACAACACGAGGAACAGTTCAGGGAAGGAGTGGAACCAGGAGGGAAAAGGTGCGATCGACAACGTGGGCGGGAGTCCCACTGATCACGCGACCCGCTGAAGTTCCGCCACCCCAGAGCAAAAGAAGGGAAAAAGAGACTAAAATACTCACCCTTCGAGCTGTCCCTCCGGCCCGCACGCCAGTCGCTCGCGCGGCGCGTGCCCGCGCGCTCTCGAGCAGCATCGCGTCGACGTCCTCGCTCTGCGCAGACTGCGAGCGCTCGCGGTGCGCGCCGGGGTGCGGCTGCGAGAGCTGCCGCTCGGGCGGGTAGGCTGCGCGCTCGGGCTGCGGGTGTGTCGCGTGCCGCGTCGGCGGTGCCGGGATGTGCCCGGCGCTTGACCGCGTGGAAGTGGAATAGGCGCCATACTGAAAAGAGTAAGCTTAATAGATAGAGAAAAAAAGGAATACACACATCGTAGTCCCCCTCTCTCGGCTTCTTGTACCCGTACACAGGCGAGTAGCCCATGCTCTCCGCGGGGGCGCTTGCCCAAACTTGTTGGCCCGGGGACGGGCGCCTGCTGCGTAATAATATGCGGGGCGTGTTGAGCGGCCCCGGACTGGCCCGCGGCATACTTCTCCCTTCGCTCCCGGTTCTCCCCCTGGTGCAGCACCTCATACCGCACACTCAGCTGCGGCGCCGCCTCCGCCAACACGAGCGGCCCGCCGCCCTCCCTGACAAGCCTCGTGAACCCCGCACGCGCATCATGCGCCCGTGCGTCCGCGAGCGCGAGGTGCTCCGCGACCTGCGTCCACGCGCTGGCCACCGCATGCAGCCGTGCCACCGCGGCATCGCGTTCTGCCTGCGCGCAGGCCGTGCGCTCGTCCTGCGCGCAGATCCCCAACCGCTGGGCCGTTTCTCTTGAGATTTGCAGGAGGCGGAGAGGCCCAATGGCGCTTCCCACCATCTCGGCCTCGAGCGTGCCGCGTGAGAACTCGGCCCGCCGCTCCGGGTTTTTGCAACAGGCCCGTCCGTTGCGCGCAGAGCTAGCCGCTCGGCCGTTCCTCTTGAAACCTTCAGGGATTTGAGAACCACACTGGCGCCGCCTCTGGTAAGAAATTCAGAAGCCGCGAACAAGAACTGAGCTCAGCGCTCACCGTTCTTGTGGGGAACACCGCCAACAACGACCGCGGCCCGTTCAGCGCGTTGCACAGCGCCGAGACCCGCCGAGACAGCTGGGATATGTCCCCCCAGTCTTCCTGGACGCGGCGGACGCACGCCGAGGCCATTCGTGGCCCAAACGGGCCAAGATTGGGCCAATCCTGGCCGAGAGAAGAGGGGGGATTGCGCGACAACGGCGGTGTTGTCTCGCGCGGGATTGGCCGGGGTTGGAGAGACCTATGGGCCCTACGCGGGCGCGCGCTTTCGCTACGAACGCGCGGCAGACGGGCCGGGACGCCGCTGACCTCCAGAAACAGAGGCCGGTCCGCGCAGGGCCAACGACTGGCTCGTTCCGCTCGAAACTCTCAGAAGATGGAGCGGTATATTGCCCCTCGCATCCCTGAGAATCTCGGGCGAAACGCGCCGGAAACGCGCCCAGCGCTGTTGAGTTTTGTGGAAGACGCGGCCAACGCCGAGTCTCGCGGATGGAGCCCGCCGCAGAGGCCTTAGATGCGCCGAACAGGCTGGGTCAAGTCCCCTCCGTCTTCCCCAACGTGGCCGGACGTGGCCGACGGCCTGTTCGGCGCGAAACGAGCAGTTTCCGGCGCGTTGCTGGCGCGCATCCGGCCGGTGGATCGCCGCCAAAGTCCAGCATCGTGACGAGGACATCGGCGGCCCTTCTCGAGCCCGTTTCCGCGTCGATCGGCGGTCGCGATCGCGCGCGGTAGACTGTTTTGTGCTGAATTGGGGCCATGAAAACGGCGGGGAAGAGTGTTTGCGCACCTTGGGCGTCGGCTCTGGACTATCTGAGGCGGTGTGGGGCCGTGCTTTCGCGAGATTCCGGCCAGAAGTCCCAGTTGTGAGTTGGTTGCCTTGAGTCCGTTTCCGCGTCGATCCGCGGTGGCGTGTTTCCGCCCCAGAGGTGAGCCATTGTCGCCAGATTCCACCCCAGTTGTTGCCTAGTTTGCAGACCAGAGCCGCGTGGCCCGGGGCCGTCTGAAGCAGCGGAGAGGCCGCGGAGAGGTTGTGTTGCCACAGATGGTGGTGGTACAGAAGAGAGAGAGTCACGCGCGTGACTGTAGTCGAGTCCGAATCTTGCGTGACGGACTCCGCGGCAAATTAACTGCTGGCAGTTAGCGGCCTCCGCGGCAAGTCCGCTGGCAGTTAGCAAAGTAATTTCAGTTGTGGGAAAAGTGAAGAGAGGGATTGAAAGATATTGAGCTGGAGATGCTAAAAAGCTGAAATGAGAAGCAGGAGGATAAGAACTGAGAGTTGTGGAGGGGTAATGAAATTTCCCAAAAAGGAAATAATTTCGAGCGCGAAATTGTGGACAGCAGTTTTCACGCTTTTTTGAAATTTGTTCCTGGGGTTGGCTGAGCACCTCAGTTTCCTACTGTAAGGAGGAAGACCTCTGGGTGCTGAGTGTTCTTTTGTCTAGCAGTACTACTGTTTAAAGATGGATTAACATGGGACCACATTTTGGCAGTGAAAGAGGTTGGCTGAATACCCTGTAACAAGGGGAAAAAGGTCATTTGAGTAATTGGTGGGCTCATGCTTAGGCATTGAGAAGAGGCCTCCCCACTGGTGAAAGGGTGATCTCCTTCAGTTGATTGGGAGTAGCTGTTGAATCGAACCAAGGGTTGTGAGAGTGAAGGACAGAAGTCATCATAGCACTGTTTACAGTCAACTTCTGAGTAACTTGAACTTGTAACTTGGTGGAGCTTGCCTATTCTTTGGACTTTGTCCTCTTGTATTCATGGGTTCTGGGGGATACATTTAATTCTAACTTTTTCTAGGATTTTACAGCCAGACTCTGTTGGGGGACGCCCTGACAAGTCTATAAACAAAAATCCAGGACTGCAGCCTGGTGTGACAGTGAAGTCAATAAAACTCAAAGCTATTTTTTAACCCCCCTTTACTACCTACCTTCTTCTTCTTTCTTCTTCTTTGATATCTTTGACTGTATGAATGACATGGATTCATAGAGTGAAAGGTATGAAAGAAGAAGAAGAACAACAATTTTTTTTTCTTTCTGCAGCTCTACTTTAGGGCCTGCTGAAGGATCGGGTTTTGGACCCATTCCACTTTAGGGCCGGCTCCTTCATTGCCTCTTTTTTCTTATATTCTTGTTATTATATTCTTGTTATTATATTCTTGTTATTATATTCTTGTGTTATATTGAGTGAGACTGAGCGCTACTGACTCTAACTGCCAGACTACTTTAGGGCCAGCCTAGTAAATTAGGTTGACTGAACTATGACCGCTACTGACTGAGTCTTAGACTGCTACTGCCAACTTTAGGGGAGATAAGTTGAGACTGACTGAGTCTGACTTTAGGGCTGCCTTGGTGGATCACTTGGACTGAACCTTACTGACCGCTACTAACTTACTGCCAGGGCCATTGACACTTCAAGACTAAGTAATTAAGCACTTTAGGGCCAGTCTCACTTAACTGCCAGGTGGAAGTTGGCAGACAAAGTTGTAGATATCACAAATTGAAGGTTAGGTTCAGTTCAGACTATAGTCAATTTCTGAATGGTTAGGCTGGAAAATGCAAAAGATTGAAAAATCACGAGTGTCTTTTAGGGCCAGGTTCAAAACACTAATAGGCTTATATCTCGATGAGTTCTGATCTGTTGACCATGGTTTCTATATGGTCAGAAAGGTATTTGCAAGGCCTACAAACTGGCCTTCAACTGAAAACATGTTTGCTACAAATTGACTGAGTTTTACTACAAGATACTGTAGCAGTTAAGCTTACACTATTGAATTTCTTGATGGTTTGTATATGGTTGGAAAGGCCTTTAAAAGGACTCTAACTTTGTATTCAACTCATTGTCACTTTCCTACAAATCTAAGAACTTTTATCAGTAGTTACTGCAGCAGCCATTGACTCTATTGACTCATTCTGACTTGTGTATATTTTGGTGTGGGTTCATAGCGGCACTCCTGAGACCTAACTTCCCAGTTTACAGTTTGGCTTAAAGTCAATACTTGCTTCACAAAATGCAATATACTTTCCCAATCCAGAGTCTTTTGAAACAGTAATAGGACTTTATCTCAGTGAGTTCTGAAGCTTTCGAGATGGGTCATATATGGTTAGAAAGGTATTTTGAAGGCCTACAAACTAGTCTTCAACTGAAAACATGTTTGCTACAAATTGACTGACTTTTATTAGAAAATACTGTGGCAGTAAATGTTATATAGTGATAGTTTTGGATGGTTTGTATATGGTTAGAAAGGTCTTCAAAAGGAATCCGACTTTGTATTCAACTTTTGCTTGATTGACTACAAATCTAATGACTTTTGTTACAACACACTGTGGCAGTTGTTGCCTGTATTGACTCAGATTGACTTGTGCATATTTTGGTGCCAGTCTGTAGCGGCACTTCCAAGACCTAACTGCTCAGTTTACACTTTGGCTTGAAGTCAATACTTGCCTTGCAAAATGCAAATTACTGACCCAATCCAGAGTCTTTTGAAACAGTAATAGGCTCATATCTCTGTGAGTTCCGGTCGGTTTGAGATGGTTCTTATATGGTCAGAAAGGTATTTGAAGGGTCTACAAATATGGCCTCAACTGCAAATATGTTGATTACAAAATGACTGACTTGTATTAGGATACACTGTGGCAGTTAAGGTTAAACTGTTGAATTTCTTGATGGTTCATATATGGTTAGAAAGGTCTTTAGAAGGACTACAACTTTGTATTCAACTCATGTTTAGTTGATCACAAATCCATTGACACTGCGGCTATTGACTGTATTGACTCAAGTTGATTTTAGGCTTTATCTCAATGAGTTCTTGTTGGATTGAGATGGTTTTCATATGGTCAGAAAGGTATTTGAAGGGCTTATAACATGGTGGTCAACTCAAAATTTGTTGACTACAAAATGACAGTTGTATTGACTGAAATTGACCTTCTTTTAAAATAGTATTAGGCTCATATCTCTGTCAGTTCTGGGCGGTTTGGGATGGTTTCTATATGGTTAGAAAGGGAATTCCAGGGGCTACAAATACAAATTAACTCAGTTATATTGCCTTAAATTGACTTTGGTGCCAGTCTATTGGGACACTTCCAGGACCTGAATGCCAGTTTATACAAACAGTATTAGAGTTATTTCTCAATGAGTTCTGGTTGGATTGAGATGGTTCTTATATGGTCAGAGACGTATTTGAAAGGGCTACAAATTTGTGTTTGGCTGGAAATGTGTTCCATACAAATTGACTGACTTTTATTGGGATACAAAGTGGCAGTTGTTGACTGTATCGACTCACAAAATCACAAGTACTCCAAACAGTATTAGGGCTGTATCTCAGTCATTTCTAAAGCTCTTAAAATGGGTCTTGAAAGGTATTTCAAAGGCCTATAATGGGGTCTTCAATTACAAATTCATTGACTACAAAATGAATGTTGAATTGGCTTTCTAGAACAAAATGTAATTTCAGAACAGTATTAAGGTTATATCTCTACCATTTCTGAATGGGTCCTATATGGTCGGAAAGGGACTTGAAAGCCCTACAAATGTGTGTCGAACTTGATACATGTCCAGGTCTAGTCAAACCGGACTGAATGCAGTGTTCGGCATAAAGGCCATTCGAACCAAACCTAGCCCTCAATTCGGCCAGGTTCGCAGCCAGCCCAACATATATCTGTTTATTCTAAGCCTTAGTACATCTTGAAAAAGCGGCTTATGTAAGCAGATGTGAATACAATAATGTGCCAAACTTAACAATGTCAATCTGATACAATAGTGTTTGTACCAAATTGATCTCAGGGTCAGTTTGTGAGAACTAATAGTTATCTACTGATTCTTTCATTCTTGAATGATTGGCCATTGTTGACAATTTAGATGTGGGCAAACTACTGATTACACCAATAGAGAGTGTTGCTTACATCTAATATAGCACTCTGAATTAAATTCAGACAAAATCATATATTGCACACCATCTGCCACACATATCTACACAATATTCTGGAACTATATATGGCCAATGCCGCTTGTCCGAGGTTGGGCTGGATCAGTGCGGCCGTCTGTGAGAAAGCCTTGCCGCGTCACCTCAGTGGAGCGCCGAGGGATGCGCGCGGGAGTGCGTCCTTGGTCGTGCGGAGTTCGCCTGAGAGTTT